AGACCTATGCTTTTATTTTTCTTGGGTACATGCAGTATAATCGCTGGCCCGTAACTTCATGTTTAAGCATTTAAGAATGTATCTAACTACTTTCCAAACAGCTGTGACATTGAAATTTCAGCCACCACTGAGTATCTCAGCTTGTTATTGCCTGTCTTGTTTATTATACCCATTCTACTGAGTGCAAAATTTCCTGGCTTCCATTAGCATTTTCTCAGTGAAATAATGACACTGAGCATCTTTTTGGGAGCCTGTTGTCATTTGGGTAGATTCTTTAGCAAAATTACCGTTTGATAACTTTAAATTTAGGTTATTCTCTTTTTTTATTCAATTGTAATGGTTCTTTATGTATTTGAGGCATATATCGGGTATGTGATTTATCAAGACCGTTATCTCGGTTATTTTTCTCTGCTTTTGAAAGTTGTCCTTTGAAGCATAAGAAGGCTTTTGATGCTGCCTGATGACTCATTTTTCTTTTGTCGTCCATGCTTTTACTGTCACATCAAAGAACTTTATTTACAGAAATAAGCTCACAAGAAGGACTTCTGTCTTAGTGACTCTTTGGCTGCAATGAAACACCATGACTAAAAAGCAAGTTGGGGAGGAAAGAGTTCATTTGGCTTGCATTTCCATAGTTATCACTGTTCATCATTAAAGGAAATCAGGACAGAAACTCAGGGCAGGATCCTGAAGGCAAGAGCTAATGCAGAAGCCACGGAGGGGTGCTGTTCACTGGCTTACTTAGCCTGCTTTCTTATAGAACCTGGGACCACCGTCCCAGGGATGGCACCACCCACAGTGGCTGGGCCCTCCCCCATCCATCACTAATTAAGAAAATGCCTTATAGGCCTGCCTACGATTTGATCTTATGGAGGCCTTTTCTTAATTGAGATTCCCTCCTCTCAGATGGCTTTAGCTTTCGTCAAGTTGACATAAAACTACCCAGCACGTTCTCATTTTTTTCCTATGAGTATTATACTTGTAACTTTTACACTTGGGCATATGGTACAAAGCGAAGCAATGGTTCAATTTTATTACGTCATCTGCTATAAAGACTGTTCTTTGTCTCTAATTGTCTGAGCATGGCAAGTTCTTAGACCCAGTAATGACATTCCCCTGTATCTTTTTTTCTTTCTTCTTTCTTCTTTTATGATGTTTACTGTTCTGAAAGTCCATTATCCACTGCTGTAATGGAAAACCCTAACCTGAGTGATTAATAAAGGTCAGAGACTCGTTTCTTACATCTTTAGTGGTTGGGAAATCTAGCACTAAGGCAATGGCGTCTGATGAAAGCTCTCTGTTCTGTTACTACACAGCAGAGGGTAAAGGGCATATGAGAGCACATGGGGGTCAACTCACTTTCCCCATTCCCACAACAACACCGTGTTATTAATCCACTTAGAGGCAGAGCCCTCATTCCTGATTTCCTCTCATCGAGCTTTAACTCCCAAATATAATTACACTGGGCACTGTATTTCCAATCCCTAAACTTTGGGAAACACTGGCAAACCCCAGCAACAATCTTTTTCCTTGACAGTCACTCCTCATTTATCTGAAGTTTAAATAAAGCTGATTCCTTGTGCCAATGAAGTTCTATGTTCAGCCTGCTTTCTTGTAGAACCCAGGCCCACCATCCCAGGGATGGCACCACCCACAGTGGGCCGGGCCCTCCCCCATCCATCACTAATTAAGAAAATGCCTACAACCTGATCTTATGGAGGCATTTTCTTAATGGAGATTCCCTCCTCTCCGATGGCTTTAGCTTGCATCATATTGACACAAAACTACCCAGCCCATTCCCGTTTGTTTTTCTAGAGGAGTAGAACAGAGTGGGTACGTTTGCATCACTTTGGATTTCTGCAGTTACTCAATAACACAAACCATCCTAATTAAAAGAAAAAATGAAGGGAAGAGTTTTCCCTTAGCTGCTGTGAGGCAGTTCCTGAGACAGTGATGAACGTTCATTATCTTGGAGCACCATGTAGCTGGTGAAGTAAAGGGAAGTCCAGGGGATGCTATCATAAAGATGACTAGAAGTGAGCACAGATGGAGTTCCTAACCTAATTTAGAAGGCCCCTGGTGTCCTTAGATTGACAATTACGACTCTCTATTACTTACCAGGGGTTCTCAATAAGAAGCTTTATTATTGGCAAATTTGTTTGTCATCTAAATACTCGGTTTGATCCCTTTAACCATCTCATTGTCTAGATTACCTTTTTGTTTGACCGCTGTAGAGTTAGTGTCTTACTAGGCAACAGGTCTCTTATTCATGTCTATAGACTTGACCTTAGCTCAAGCACTAGTTCAAAAATGTTGGCCATCCTCTATCCTAGAATCTCCCGTTCTCTCAAAGTCTATACTTGTTGCTTCTTATCTAGCTGGAATGGGGTGTCAGCCATCTTGTATTGATAGCTAGCTTTGCCCAAGAGCCTTCTAAGCTTAGCCCAGGCCCTAACATAAACTTAATGTATATTGTCTGCATAATGATAGAAAGTAATCCTTAAGGCAGCTGTCCTCAAATAGCCTGCTTCCTTCTAAGTCCCGTCAGCCAGCAAGGTAGTCACAGGACCTGAAAGTTTTTAAATGTCTCGCTGACATCTGCATTCAACTGCAGAGTCTGTAACCAGGTCAGGTTGCCAGGTCAGAGTTTCATGCCAGGGGCTGGCAGGAGGCATGTCTCACACAATGGAAGGTGAGATTCCTGAGCTCTGAAACCGAGCGGATGCAGATGAGTGCAACCAATTCTCAACCTCGAGTACAGTGCTGAACCATAAAAATGGATGACTTTCTAACAACCGTGGAGGAGCAGACTTTCAGAAAGGAGGAAGCTAGGATGCTCCTGCCAGTACGGATTCTGTGACTGGAGCATGTGGGAGAGAGCCAGAGGGAAGCCACAAGCTGCATCTTGCCATCTTGTCTGTATGAGAAACTGTTTTTATTTCCTATCTGAATGACCTAGGTTGTCAACTTGTCTGATGCACACGTATCAGATGGCACTATAGAAAACAGATAACACTGGAACTCCCGTTAGATGGTTATCATAGTAAGCAGAAGTGAATCTCACTGAAAGGCTCATAGCAATTACAAAAGGGGTTGCTCATAAATCAAACAGATCATTTTGCTAAGCAATGGGTTCATAAAAATCTCATGTAGAATGTTAATCAGAAAACCACTCCTAACCCTGCATTTGTTTGCTTAATTTTAAGCTGACTTTCCCCCACCCCTCTGTTCTTAGCCGTTGACTTTGATTCACACTCATTTATATCAATCAAGAGGAAGCCTGCTTTTCCCCCAGGAGATTGTGGAGCCTAGGAGGAGTGAAAGAAAAAAAAAAAAGGCCAGTGATGACAGTCTTGATAAGGCTGTATTCATTTTTTCCCCCCAACGGACTGCAGTTTTAAATTATGGCCATCACTGGCACAGGCACATTTACGTTTGAGTCTGCTCTAACCCGAGAGACTCCAAGCACACTGGAAAAAAATACGTTTCCTTTGTTCTGATCCCAACCTCTGAATAAGAGACAAGTGGACTGGGTTCCTCATAAATATGTATTGACCGCCTGGGTATTAATGCGAGGTAGAACTCTGATTAGTGAGTGCGACCTTCAGTGAAGTAAGAGGAAATACCACGAATGGAGAGAAGATGATGCTATCAGCAGATTTTTATTTGTCCTTTTCCTTATCCTCCAGTTGCAGTCACACCTCTCTCTCCCCCCCCCCGCCCCCCCCCCCCCCCCCCCGTCCAACCTCTCTATACATCTCTCTCTTCTGGATCTCAAAGGAACACAAATAAAATGAAGCCCTTTCCACTAGGTGTCCAGAAGAACAATACATGAAGCCAGTAGCTTTTACCTGGTTATTCCTTTCTTCCCTGCTCAGGAGCTTGCTATATACAAAGCCTCCCTCATCCTATCTCGAGGCTGAAATCTGGAACAAATTAAAATACTGCATTTGTTTCGACTTGTTAGATTGGATTTTGCTACACAAAATAAAAGGCACCGAGCTCGTGTTGGTCTCCAGGATATAAGGACTTGTAATTAACATCTTTATGGATTTTATAAAGGACGCCCTATTGGGCTTTGAGGATAAACTACTGCATCGAACTTTCTGGAGCAGAAACCACAAACAACCGAATTTTGCTTGGTTAACCACGTGGTCAACAGTTGGTTTGGTTGCAATCTCAGAGCCTTAACAGGTTGCAGAGGACGAACTGGTGGGAAGTACGGGTTCACACCCACGCAGGTTGTGTGGCTGGAAGCCTTAAAACGACGAGAGGAACAGTTCCCGTGGTGGCTTCGAGTTTCACAGCCTGCTACTTAGAGAGGGTTCAAGTGCAGTTCAGGCCAGGAGTCAGGCTGGGTGTTGAGATCGGCTAGGATTCCACTCAGCGAATGCAGGGTTCCCCACACCAGCAGAGACTTCACCCACAAGGTCTCAGAGGCTTAGACTCAGGCTGCCCACACCGAACCCAACACCCTGGCGCTGAGGACGGGCGGTTCTATCACATTGCAGAGCCAGAGGGTGGCTGAAGAGGATAGCAGTTCCTTCAGAAACTAGAACAGCTCTTCCTCTTTTATTAAGGCTTGGGACACTTGAACTGGCCTTGAGGAGGGCCGCGGTGGGTCGAGAGGCCGAGAATGCTAGATCGACGTCCCTTCCCTATGGATGGTACGGTCCAAACTGGGCGGGACCCGGAGGCCCGGCGGCCCTGTCCCCGCCCCACTCCAGGGGGCCAGCGAGTGAGCGCGCGCCCCGCAGACCCCGCCCCCGGCGCCGTCCCCGGCTCCGCCCCTCGAGCTCGCTCCTCTGCCACTGCGGGGAGACCCGGGCGCCTCTGCGGACGCAGCTCCTTCGCCGCCTTCCCCCTCCCGCCCGGTGCCCAGGCGGCTCCTGGTGGCGACGCTGCCCTGGGTGGGAGGCGCGGCCCCGCGGCAAGTGAGCCCTCGACGCGGCGCAGCCAGCTCTGCCGCCCGCGCGACGCCGTGACAGGTGCAGGGTCCCCGCCCGAGACCCACCTGCAGGGGCGGTCGAGATGCCCACCATGCGGAGGACCGTGTCGGAGATCCGCTCTCGCGCCGAAGGTGAGTGACCGCCGCAGCAGGAGGCTGTGCGCCCAGCGTACGTGGGGTCCGAGGTGTGTGTGTGTGTGTGTGTGTGTGTGTGTGTGTGTGTGTGTGTGTCCGGGAAGAGACATCTCGTCCCATCTACACCCCCTCCTCCGTTTCCCAATAGTCTGCTTGTCGCTCCTGATCGCCAGTGGACCCTTCTGCCAGCTCTGCCTTCAGCACACTGGCAAACGCTTTCCAGGATCCAAAAACCTCGGAATTTATGCGCTGGCGGGCGCCCCAAGGTTTCCTTTACACCGCAACGCGACTGTTCAGTCCTTGCCTCCCAGAACACTCGCCCGGCTCCCCTCCTTCACCAACTGCGCGCAATCTTTGCAATCTGCCTGTTCCCAATCAGTTTGCCCATGCCCATGAATAGATCCCTCCAACCTCCTATCTCCAGCGCCCACCATTGTGCTGCCCCCACATCACGGCTTCCCGAAGAGCCGGTTTGCCATTCCCAGGCGTCGCAGATTCTTTGATCCACAGTTCCCGGCATCTCTAGGCTGGAAGGAGCATTAATTGGGTTTGGGTGCTCAGTGGATCCCAGGCTGCGTTCCAGTCTCTGCACTTCTGCCCCCTGTGGCTCACCAGGCTCTAGTTTGAGGTTTCATTTTTGTTTTTCTTTTTTGCTTGAAGCCTGCACTTTGGCCGGCTGAACTGACTCGAGAAAGGTGCTTGCTGCTTTCGTCGCTCCACCCGAGGGCCAGCTGTTGAGTGGTTCCACTTGTAGGAGAAGTGTGCAACAGATGCCCTAGGTTATGGGCAAGGGCGCTTTGGCAAAGACTGAAATACGATGCACCCTGACTGAGGAGCCCACCACCTCCTGTCTGGCGTGTGGCAGGCTTTCAGTAAACATCCCTTAGTTTTAAAAGGGCAAAAAAAGAAACGGTATACTTTTATTTTCTTTCTTTCGTTTGCCTGGTTTTTTCCATTCCAGTAACTCTGCCCTTCAACGTCGTGGAATGGCACGATTTTGAGAAATAATCTGTCTTGTTCCAGTCACTGATTCTCATCCCTGCCCCCATCCCTACTCTTGACCGTAAGGTAGATGATAACGCGGTGGGGCTGGGAGTAGAGGGGAGGAGAATAGGACTTCTGGGGGCAGGAGCAGTGAGAGCTGTAAGGACCTCGTGTGAAAAATAGGGATCCGGGGCTCTAATACGTAGGCAAGAGACAAGGTGACACAGAAATCGAAGCTGACCTGTATCTTAAGAATCTAGTATATAAACGTATTTGTTTTTTTCAATTTCGAGTGGAATGAATGAATGAATGAATGAATGCACTAACCACCGTTTGAACAATGGAAGCAACTAGGTGAGGATAACTTGTGTTAAAATACTTATCACACCGGTTGATCTTTTTAAATAATAGCAACAGATGGATCTTATATGAAGGGGCAGGGAGGGAAGAGGAAGAAACCTGAAGGCAACGTAAAGCTTGTGTCACTTTGAGAGGATTTACCTTAGCATCTAGAGAGGCTGCGGTAGGCACCTCCTGTGTTGTTCAGAGCACTTTCACAATTGTCTGATGGGATCTTGCAACACTACTGGAGGCTGTTGAAAGTGGAGGATGATGGTTGAGGAAACCTGGCTGGGAATGGCTCAATGAGTTGATCAAAGGGATAGAGCTAGTTCAGTGATAACACTTGTATCAGGGGCTCAGACAGAACAAGTGCTGCTGCCATTGAGTCTCTGTAGCTCTGAGTATCCATCAGTGTCAGAGTCCTCCTGCCTCTGGAATGACCCTTCTCCCGTATTGGTTGATTTCACTTTAGTATGTGCCATTTGATAATATCTCTGGGACTGTAGGCTAGGGGTGTGGCCTGTTAATTAGCCTTCTACAAGTTCTTCTCCTAGGAAACAATCAATCTCCTTTGACAGTTCCTTCTTGCTAGATAGGGCCTTAGTCTAAACTGCACTCACCTTGGCCTCATTAGAACAGGATGGGCTCCTGACTCAAAGGCAGCCAACCCCTAATCGATTCACAAGCTTGTAGCCTTTTGGTTTTGTGGAAAAAAAAAATCCTTTTGCTACCATATCACTACGGGGGGAACTTAAGGTCAGAGGTAGAATGAAAATCAGAGTCAAAGGGGGCAGAACTGAGTGGGCTTGTAGGAGAGAAAATGGGTGGCCATAGTATGCCCTGAAAATAATACTGAAGTAGGCAGCAGGAACTGGGTACAGAGCAGAGAGCCAAAACGGTCTAGTATGGAGGCCTGACCTTTGCCCCCCTTCCTTAGTTTTCTATTCAGAATTCTATTCAAGGTTAAACCTTTTCTCCTCGTTTCAGGCGACTTGTGGGGATTTCTGTTCCCTGAGTCCAGATTGGCCCGCTGCACAGCTACTGTGCTCTTGTAAGTTGTTTACAACCGAGGTGTAAAGAAAAGGCTTAAATAAAGTGGGCAGTAGATCCTCTTAGTGGGTAGGTTGTTTATTGAACACGGGACTTGCTGTGGGTGGCATACGTCCTATGGAAGTGTAAGGCTTCAGTCTTTGCTTATTAATGAGCAAATGAGTAGGTAGGGCTGACTGCAGAGATCTCTTGCAGTGCCAGCTTTGGGTGTGGAGAATCACAAGGGGATGGTGTTAAACGTGAGTTCTGATTTAGGAGGGCCAGGTACTAGAACAGTCACACTTATGACAGGTTCAAAGGTCATGCTGCTAGCTGCAGATGGCAGTCTCTTGAAGGCCATTGCCATCTGTTTCGGAACTGCAAAGAGGTGAAGGTAGTCATAATGGCTTGAAAGACATGGTTAATGTGATCTTGGCTTACATGAGGCTTCAGGAATGTGTCGACGGGCTGAGGGAAACCCGGAAGGACGAGGGTATAAGTTTAGACAGGTGGAGTCCTGCTGGATCAGAGCACTGTCAATGCCGAGTGAGTCATTTGGATACAGTGCTGAATGTTTGGAAAAAGGTCTTAGAGTTCGCCTAATTTAATTTCTCACTGGAGCATGATACTGATATACAGTCACTGCCGGTCCTCCACAGCCACAGTGGAACAAAATCCTTGTAACAAAGTGACACACCAAAGGAACCATGTTAAATCAGTCAAGAAGCATGTAGAAGGGTTCTGTGGGTCAGGTGCGGTGGCTGATGGGTCATGGAGTAAAACGGAGAAAATGGGGACGGAGAACCAGAGAGAGTCGAGAGTAAGTCACTTGGTCGTTCAGCACCAAGTGATGTCCAATTCCTGTAAGAGCCCATCTAAGGTGTTAGTACACCAGTGTACACAGCTTAATAAAGGAGGAACAGAGCAAAACCCATCAGATTGTGGAATTTGTTATTTGATAAGAATTGTTGGAAACCCAGCCAAAGCCAGATGTTTAAGGTGGGTGAATGGACTTGAGGATTATGGAGGCTGGGTGGGCTAGCCTGCCTAATCTGCTGTAGACCTGGGGAGTGTTGCAGGTAGAAGGACAGCCAGAGCAGAAGCCCCAAGGCAGGGTGTCATAGGTGCACAAAGGCTGAACTCTATAGATAGTGAAGGGCAGGAGACAGACAGACAGACAGACAGACAGACAGACAGACAGACAGACCACACATGCTCACAGGTTACTTTGTTTGATTTTGAAGAGAGAGTTCTCAATAGCTTTTGTTGTTTTTTAACTTTCACTTTATGAAGTGAGATCCCAGTGCCAGAAATTGCAGCTTCTGAGGTGGGACCCTGAAGAGACTGTGGGGCAGACAGGTGTGCTGGGGTCCGCATGCCTACTGATGTTCTGGTACAGGACAAATACATTTTGAGGAACTCTTCCTTACAGTCTTGGGCCTGACCAGTAGAGAAGACTGTACCAAACCAGTCAAAGAGGCTCAGTACGAGAAGAGAATAATTCAATTTTATAATTATAACACACCCAAATTGACCATGTTTGCTGGGTGTGATTGTTCACACTTGTAATCTAAACACTTGGGAGGCCGAAGCAAGAGGATTGCTGTATGTTGAAGGTCAGCCTGGGCTAGATAGTTCTAGACTAGCCTGGGCTACAGTTAAAAAAAAAAAAAAAAGAAACCTAAAATTGACATGTTTTTAAGATTCTTAGAAATAGTGAAGTTATAGTTAGGTACAGGGAAATAAATGAAACTTGGGAAGCTTTGGTTCAGAAATAATATTGAAGCACTTTTAGATATATTTCCCAGAAACCACAGACAGACAGAACAGAAGGCTATATACCTTAAGTTTCTTTCCTGCTCTTCCAGTGTCTGAACACAGTGGTCATAATGACAGACTGAAATACCCGTTGCTCACACAGAATATAGCTTTTCTCTCTTAAAAGCTAATGTAGAAGTAGCCAGTCAAGGTCAGCCATGCCTGCCACACCATGTCCTAAGAGATGTTGGCTCCCTGGGCTTTTCTGCTTTACCATCCTGAACACATGCCATTCATAAAATCCACAGCATGGTTTCTGGGTCTCTGCTGTCTTATAGGAGTTCCATGCACGAAAACCATAGAATAGGAATAGAGTTTCCTGAAAGCGACACACAATGACAAACGCCTCATTTGCATTCACTCCCATCTACAGGAGAAGCTGGGAGATGGAGTTTTCCAGCTGGGCACATTACCCAGTGTGGTGTTACTAACGAGAAAGGGAGATGGCTACTGAGCAAACAACAGGCCCAGTCATAACCAGGGGCCCCAGACTGCCAAAGGTTCCTGCCTGAAAGAAGCAGCGAGTCTTGGAGCCCATAGTTTACAACATAATCAGCATCACGTGGTACTCAAAACTGAGAACATAAACTTTAGAACAACAAAGAACAGACATCCCCCCCCCAGTGACCTTCTATTATTTTCTGTTGAGTGTTATAATGCAGAAATGTTAAGCTAGTCATGGTTGTGCAAAACATGTCAAGTGATCTACTTAGAACCTCTAAGCTTTCATTTTCCTCTTGGCAAGTGGCAGTTTAAAATGTTTCTGATGATAGAGAGTACCATGTTCAATTTACTCAAAAGATTACAAAAGGAACAAGGTGAGT